AAAAAAAAAAAATAATAATAATAATAATAATAATAATAATAATAATAATAATAATAATAATAATTTTACAAGATTTTAAACGTAAAATCGGGTTTTTATCACAATAAAAAAAAACATGGTAAGGTGTATTGAAAATGTGTTATGGAATAAAATAATTAAATAAAATAAAATAGCTGATAGAAATATAATGCATCAATTACCTTTGACTTTTCTTACTACTAATTCTAGTAAATATGATGACATTTTATATAAGTATAGATTTTGATATAATAGTTTATATAATTGATTTACGTTAGATTTATTTTGAGATTAAATATGTGTAATGGTACATTGGGTCATTGTATTGTTTAGCCAAATTATTAGTATATTGGCTAAGGAACTTAATTTAGATTATAGAATGGTTAAATATGGACACCCGATAATATTATTATTTTATCACTTAACAAATAATAATATTAAACTTAAAAACTTAAATAACAAATAATTTGGGTCAAAAATAATTAATGTGTGGAGTCATAAAAAGTCGTGAAAATTATAATAATAAAGGGCCCTTGGGATTCTTTATTAAGAGATAAAAAAGAAATCGTCGCCTCCCAAAACTCTCAATTCAGTTTTCTTCGTACGTGAGGAGAAGAGATACAGCTCACGGTCTTCTGAAAAATCCCATAATCTCAAATCCAATCTTGTCATCTTGAGTTCTAAAGCAATCAATCAACTTGAATCCATCAGGTACGCTTCCGCTATTCGACTTGATTTTCAATTATTCGATATGAACGCTCTTTGGATTAAAGCGATTTTTTCTCATAAAGTTAAATCCATTTCTATCAATGTATACAAATAGAAACCGTTGATTTTGAAGTTGATGTGATGTATAAAATCGCATGATCTTTGTATGTGTGTATTAAGTCAAATTATGTGTTAGGCCATTCATTATTTTGTAGCATGGTCCATCTCACGATTAAAGCAGTCATATATTTTCGATATACATGAATACTTTGAATTGAAATGTTACACTAAAAAAACAATATGAACAAACTAAAGTATTTAATTTCATAGTATTAGGGAATCTTTAGCGGTGGTTTTGGTAGAGGTTTACAAACCTCACTTTTGAGGTTTTACCATTAAAGAGCACAAGTTTGAGGTTTAAAAATTTAAAGAGTGTCAATGTAAACCTCCTTCAAACTTCTTCAAATAATAAAAAAATAAACGACCAATAGATAATGTGAAGAGAGTGACTATCCAACATACACCAAAAAAACTAAAGTGGTGGCTACGCACTTGAAAATGAGGTGAGTTAGAGATGACCCACCTTTCTACCATTCTACCTCAACATATTATTTTTCTTGTTTTTTTATCTTAATATTTTCATTTGAGAACTATGATAAATACGATAAATATTTAATATTAAAAACTGAAATTTATATGTAATATAGAAATTTAAATATAGTAATTAAATAAAAACTTTACTGTTGTAATGTTTATGTGGAATAAAGTTTCTCTTTATTTATTTAATTGTATGTAAAAAATAACTATAACAAAATTTAAATAATATAATGATATATGTCTAATGTCATTTTAAATAATTATAAATACGGCAATATAATTTTATGTAATTAAATTACTTTTTATAAGTATTTATGATAAAATATGAAATATTTAGATTGAATAAAAATAAAAAGTGGAGTTATAGTTTTAAAGTACTGATAAAAAAATAAAAATATAATATTAATTAAAAATAAGTGAGAAATATGTGAGACTCATAACAAAAATGAGGTTTATAGAATTTATTGTTATTAGAGGTTTATGGGTATAGGAGTAAGAATGAGGTTTTGGATGATGTGCCGTGTTGGGAAGTGTAAAGGAGGTTTATGAGGTTTATTTGTCAAAGATGCTCTTATAAGTTGTATGCATTTTTGTCAAAAATAAAGTGTGATGACTAGACCGGTCTAATCAGCCGCCGCGTCGAGGACGAAAAGAGCTTGCAAAGCAAAGAGCTAAGGGCATCTTTAGTGGGAGGTTTTGGAGAGGTTTAAAAACACAAACCTATGAGGTTTACCAGTATAAAGAAGAGGTTTGAGGTTTGTGTTTTTAAACTAGGTTTGAGATTCCAAACCTCACATAAACCTTCAAGTGGGTATTAAATAAATATAAAAATAAGAAAAAGATAGTAGAAAAGAGTAAAATAATAATTTTAAATAAAATAAGTGGGAAACATATGGGACCCGTATAACAGGTTTATTGTTATTGGAGGTTTAAAGTGTAGGAGTTAGATAAAGAATTTTGGGTGATGTGGAGCATTGAAAAATGAAAAAGGGGGTTTAAGAGGTTTTGTTGTTAAAGATGCTCTAATAGGTCTTGCGGAGCCACTAAAAGATTAACTAAGATTGACGAACTATTTAAATTATAATATAAGTGTAGAAAATAAATTTATTAAAAATATTTTACATTTTTATAACAAAAATATTATAAATATTAGGTACGTTTTTTTTTTTTAAATCAGGTATTTTTATTACTAAAAAATATCACGTATTTGCTAAAAATATTAATAAAAAATTCAAATATTTTTATTACTGTTAGAATATCACTTGTGAGTTGTCTCACATCGTTCATACATGGAAAATAGACCCACTTTATAAGTCTAATGGGCTACTCCTCCTTCCACCATTTGGTTTTGGGATGAAACCTCATTTGGGCTTCATATGGGTTTTTCACGTTCATGGTGCGCTTCATGTTAGTGGGACCGCACCGTTTTCCTCAGTTTCTTTCATGGTATTAGAGTCGGTTCTATTGGGACCTTGCGATGACGTACCCGTTTATAAGAGTCTGCTTCCCCACGTACCCGTTTATGGGAGTCTACTTCTAGTAGGCTTGGGGCACCCAGTTGGGCTTGGGCTTCTCGCATCCGTTTATGGGAGTCTGCTTCCCCACGTACCCGTTTATGAGAGTCTACTTCTAGTAGGTTTGGGGCACCCACTTGGGCTTGGGCTTCCGAAGGACTCACAAGTGAGGGGCGTGTTAGAATATCACTTGTGAGTTGTCCCACATTGTTCATACATGGAAAATAGACTCACCTTATAAGTCTAATGGGCTACTCCTCCTTCCACCAATTGGTTTTGAGATGGAACCTCATTTGGGCTTCATATGGCTTTTTCACGTTCATGGTGCGCTTCATATTAGTGGGACCACATGTTTTCCTCAGTTTATTTCAATTACTAAAATTAATATCTCGATCGTGGGTGCACAGGCATCGGTCGCTGGTACCCAGGAATGACTCGCTGGGACGCTTTGGTCGCGGTGACACCGAGAAATAACTCGATGGGAAGTTGCATCGGGTCGCCAAGGTAGACGCGGCTCTTGTGAGGAAGTTGTGTGTCACGCTCGGGTCGTAGACGGGAAGACGCGGGTCGCGCAAGGAAACTCCGAGAGGCGCCCGAAAAACACGGGCTGCCCTAGGTCTGCAAGGGTGTTGCGCTGTCTGTGCAGGACTGTCGGAGCGGACTGGGCGCGATACTATTATTATTATTCAATTTACCTATTATATCTTTATTTTATTTAATTTTATTAATTATTATTCAATTTACCTATTATATTTTTGTTTTATTTAATTTTATTAATTAGTTTGGTTTGGATTGATATTATAATTGTAGTTGTATTCAATTCTTAAGCAAGAATCTATATGCCCCACTGGTATATTGCGAAGCATAAAAAGTTGAAAAACTTTTACAGGTATAGAAGGTGTTCGGTACGCCCTATTAAGTTGTACGGAAGGAAGAATCGTGTACCAATTATTTAAATATAATTAAAGGGTTTCGTGCATTTTCTAAAACACAGTAGAAAATTACGCATATTTCCATTAAGTTGGACGAAAGGGGGATCGTGCACCAACTACTTAAATATAAGGGAGTTTCGTGCATTTTGTAAATTATCGTAGAAAAACGCGCAAATTTCTATTAAGTTTGACGGAAGGGAGAATCGTGCACCAATTATTTATATATAAGGGGATTTAGTATATTTTCTACAACACAGTAAGAAAACACATACATTTCGTTAAACACGAACACGAGGGGCCCGTCGTGCGGTTGCACCCTCCTAGCTATATAATCTAGCTCTATATAGTCTATTTTCGGAAAAGGACGAGCATTGAAGATGCCTAGCACAAACAAACAAGCTGCCGCTGCATATCATTTACTTTCAATCAATCGCATTTATTTTATTTTATTTTTATTTTTTAATATTCGCTTATTATATTGGCCTCGCGTGTGACATGTGCGGCCATTTTAATTTGTTTCAAATATATGCATACATACATACGAACAAGTTCATTTAACATTACCCTTAATTAATTAAGAAAAGTTGTAATGGCATGCGCAAGTAACAACGTACCTTTGTCCTCACAATTCATCTATGGTGCCCATAAAACCTCATTTCCATTGCAAGCTAGCAAAATCCAGTTGACGAAAACCGATTATTCGCGCGCTCGAGTTTTCATTTGCATGTCGTCTTCGACTCCATCAACGCCGGTAGTCACGGACAATGATGTTGTGCTCAAGTACGTTCGTCAGCCTGTTGTGGTACGTATGTAACATTCATATTAGTACGTATGTGTGCTTGTCAAAAAACCTTAAATAAGTGTCGGTTGCGTAAATATATGGACTTAAATTATTAGGAGTGACAAATCGTGCTATAGTGTCGTGTTCGTTTTGATTGTAAGTATAATAACAAAATTCAAATATTGCTAATTTTTTTTATTACATGCCTTCTTATAGATCGTGTTTTTTGGGTTGGGATTATTGTATCATTTGTCTCGATAATCGTAATCAACAATCGTGGTGATGTGTAGTGTTGATGTTTCTTCCTTTTTTTTTTTT